CAGATAAGTGTTGGTGAAATTGAATTCCTTGGACTTGTGCACCTCCTGTTTCTAGGCCTCTGCCCTGTTTCTAGGGCCTCTGCCCTCTCCACCCGGGTTGTCCCTGCCCCTTGCCTGTGGATGTGGTAGAGCTAATCTGCCCCAGGGGCTAGCCCACTGGCAAGATGTGTCTGGGATCTTTGTCTCCCTCTCTAAGTATCCGGATGGTGGCAAGTAATTTTTTTTTCAAGATTTATTTATTTACACATACAAGAGCTGAGGTGTAGGCCAGAAGTATGGGGGTGAGAGTATCCACCAGAGACAGAGTGGGGAGCAGAACAGGTGGATCTACTGAGATTGAGGGGAGCAGTGGGCGAGACAGGAGAGGTCTGCTGTGCCACCCTTCCTGGGAGTTCTAAGCTGCTGTCGCCATGTTCCCTGCCCTGAGGAGATAACCAGGGATGAGAGATGAATAGAGGAGTGATTCTGGTAGGGTTGAATCCTTGGTTGCAGCCCAGTGGATACCCTGGGTCCTATAATTTTTACTTAATTTATATTCTTCCCAGCTACTAGAAACAATCTTTTTTTTTTTTTTTAATGTTTTGGCTAACTTCAGGTGCTTACAATGGAGAGATCTTCTCAATACAGAGGTCAACAATACTTTTCTTTCCAAAATTACAGTGGTCTCCTAAGGTCAGTATTCCTTAGGAGGAAGGAGACCCTTTTTTGGCAGAGAACTAGCATGGGTTAGGCTGAGGGGGGCCTACATGGAGTTTGGTTGGGATGGAAACAGCTGGATTATCTACTTAGTAGAACTGTGCATCCCTTGGGGGTTCTCCAGGAGGTGAGGGTAGAGAGTGCAGTGTTATGGCCAGAAACTGGGGATTATTCTGGTGAAGGGCAAAGTGGCATGGAGGGGCTTTCAAGAACTAGGGTGTTTATAAACAGGGCCCTGAATGGTCAAGTCTAAAGTCCTCACTTTGTAGTAGACCCTTTTGGACAAACATCCTCTCCTCTTTCAGTAAGCTTCCTCCATTTGGGACAGTCTGGGGGGGATTTTGTTGGGCAGACAAGGAGAGTGTCCCTTTCTGGTGACTGTGGGATTCTGAAATCCTGGAGGGAAGGCTTGGAGGTCAAGCCTGTGTAGACTCGGGTAACAGTGTTAAGTCAACTTTGCTTAGATCTCAGGAGATAGGAAACTGAAACTGACTTTTGGATTACATATATATTTTCCAATATTAAAATAATACAGGTCATGAAAGCAAAATTGCGAAGTGGAAAATATTTATTCAGCTTAAATATTACACTCCCAGGCGTCTCCCTTTCTTGGGTCTCCCTGTGGATGGATTTCAGGGCATGAATCTGAGGATGCTGAGGAGTGTGTTAGTATCACCTGTCACCTGAGTGGCCACGGGCGAGTCTCTTAAGGCTCAGTTCCATCACCTGTAGTAGGAACGAGACTTAAACGTTTTTCAACCCATTTCTTTCCCAGTCTTTTACTGGGTCCATTCGTTCTAGGAGAAACCGAGGCTCAAAATGAATGGGGTAGCCATTAGCCCCTCCAAAAAAGTCACTGGTGCCCAGGGTCACAGAAAAACAGGTAGCAAAAGCTTATTAATTCCACCTCAGGAGAATTAAATGGGTCCCTTGTGGCGGCCCGTCCTAAGTTGTCTGTGCACCTTCCTCCAGTTCCGACCTTCCGCGGGGGTCCAAGAGCCGAGCTCAGTGAAGTGACTGTCCCTAACACACAGGGGATGTGGGAAGGATGAAGGCAGGGCCCAAGGGGCAAGACTGCCCCGAGGGACTCACAACTGGTAAGGAATGGAGGCGCTGGCACCCCGCGAGCAGTGAGCGGAAGGGTGAGCCCCCAGGCCCGGGTCCAAGGGCGGAGGCGGGAGAGCTGAAGGGGCCATTGCAAGGCGCGGGACTGTCGCGGGAGTGTCGACCCGACGGGATAGACATACACGCCAGGCCGAAGTGGAAAGAACAGTTTATGCTGTGCTTTATTAAAATGTGCATCATTCTTTTATTTTAAAATGTGCATCATTGTCTCGTGCTCGGCGCGCGCGACCTCAAGGTGGTGGCCCGCGCGGGGCCTCGTCCCGCCCAGCTCCCGCGGAGCCGCCGTGCGCAGGCGCACTCAGGTGGCGCGGGCCCGGGGGCTCCCGCCCATGGCCAGGTAGACGTCGATGGGCACGTGCAGCAGCGTCAGGCAGTGGCAGCCGGGGCAGCGGCGAAGCGGCCTGGAAAGCAGGGGGCGCTGAGGCGCGGCCCGGCCAGTCCCGCGGGGGACGCCCCGGTGGACGCGGGCAGCTGAGGCGGGGCGGCCAGGGGGACGGGGGCGGGTCCTGCCGGCGCCCCTCGAGGTGGGTGGGGCCGGCCGGGAGGGGTCGCGCCGCCGGCCTCACCTGACCGGGCTGCGCTCCGTCGCTACCGGCTCCGGGCTGTCCTGGGGCTCGGGGGCGGCGGCAAGGCCAGGGGAGTCTCCGGCCTCAATGGGGAATCTCCGAGCCTGCGGCGGCTCCTGGGCACTCATGTCCCGGCCCCGGGGCGCTCTGCGCGGGGAGTGGCAGTCAGGCCGCTCGTCGGCCTCCGGGCGCCCAGCCCCGCGCCCGCCCCCGGGGCTTTGCTTACCTGCCGGAGGCCGCGGCCGGTGCCAGGCTGGAAGCAGCTGCCCGAGCCCTGGCCGCCGGAGGACGCTCCGGTCCAGGCGGAGCCGGGCAGGTGTCTGCGGCGCGTCCGAGCCCGGGCGTCGAGGGGGAGGGCTGCATTGTGACCCGGGCCGCGGCGCGCTGACCTCACAGTGCCCGTTCCTCCCGCCGGGGAACCCCAGCCGCTCCGGACCACCCGACACTCAGCGCGGCCGCGAACAGGGAGCGGGGGGCTCTTGCCATGGCTCCTTGAGACCCAGGCCGCAGACCTCCGGCCGCCGGATGGGGGCGCAGGAGGCGCGGGCAACCCGTCGCGCCGCGGCGTCTACAAAGCGGGTCGGGTGCCCTGGGCGGGGCGCACACACCCCGGCGCGCCCCCCCTGGCGGGGCAGCGACTCACTGGCTAGCGAGGGGCGGGGGGCGGTGGCACCCGGGGCGGGGGTTCGTGGCAGTGGTGGCGAGGGCAGGTAGGGGCATTGCCCATTTTGGCCAAGGGTCACACAGCATTTACATCACAATTGGGCCGGAGTTTAAAAATGTCTAGCTCTTTCTCTCCTCACCACCCGCGGCTGCAGTGTGCAGGGGGAGAATGTTCTAGCGCTGGGGGCAGCTGCGGATGAAGTCCTTGAGGGGAAAAGGAGCGGGCCAAGGGCGATGGTGGAGTAGAGCTGCCTCACGGAGGCAGCATGAGCTGAGAGGGTGATAGGAAGGAGGCACTAGACAGCATGGAGGACTTTCTGCTCTCCAGTGGGTACCAGCTGGGCAAGACCATTGGGGAAGGGACCTACTCAAAAGTCAAAGAAGCATTTTCCAAAAAACACCAAAGAAAAGTGGCAATTAAAATTATAGACAAGATGGGAGGGCCAGAAGGTGAGCTGGGGTCCCTTTGAGGGAAGGGAGGGCTGGTTCAGGGGGGGTGTGTGTGTGTCCTTCCCTTTAACATGGAACCAAGGAAAGGAGAGAGAGAGAGAGAGAGAGAGAGAGAGAGATTAATTGGTTCTGCCAGTGGGGTAGGTTGTAGGGAACAGAAGGACCCTGGGAGTCCAGAAATATCACACCCTCCAAAACCCAAGATTAGAAGAGGTAGAACCTGAGCACCACCAGGCCTTTCCCATTCCAAGAGGGGAACAGATTGGCAGGCAGGTCATGGCAAGGGCTAGCAGAAGGCAGGAGCTGGTGCCAGGACTGGTAAAAACAGGGAGAAGACTCCGCTTATTGAAAGAATTGTGGGTAAGGAAGAGGATGAGGGAGTAGGTTCACCGCCATGCGGGCAAATCTACCTTCCTGAGGTTCCATGGTGTGGTGTGGTGTGGTCTAACTGTCCCCAAAGCACTTTGATCTCCAGGCTCTCACAGACTGCCTGCAACAGTCCCCAAAGGTGGCGGGGAGTAGTTCCTTTGGGTAACACATTAGCTACAAAACCAATAGAGGTGAACATTCTTTGCGATGTCCGAGTGGCTGAATTTAAGACCGTTAAAGGGAATCAAGGAACAAGAGCCTGACCTAATAAAAATAGGGAGGTGGAAGTTAGTAGGGAGGTGACAGAGTGAAAAGCTAGGCACTTCTGGATGTGCCGCCCCATCTCCTTTCCTCTTTCCCCTCAGAGTTTATCCAGAGATTCCTGCCTCGGGAGCTCCAGATTGTCCGTACCCTGGACCACAAGAACATCATCCAGGTGTATGAGATGCTGGAGTCTGCTGATGGGAAAATCTACCTGGTGATGGAGCTGGCTGAAGGAGGGGATGTCTTTGACTGCGTGCTGAATGGGGGGCCACTGCCTGAGAGCCGGGCCAAGGCCCTCTTCCGTCAGATGGTCGAGGCCATCCGCTACTGCCATGGCTGTGGCGTGGCCCACAGGGACCTCAAGTGTGAGAACGCCTTGTTGCAGGGCTTCAACCTGAAGCTGACCGACTTTGGCTTCGCCAAGGTGTTGCCCAAGTCACGCCGGGAGCTGAGCCAGACCTTCTGCGGCAGCACAGCCTATGCAGCCCCCGAAGTGCTGCAGGGTATTCCCCATGATAGCAAGAAGGGCGACATCTGGAGCATGGGTGTGGTCCTGTACGTCATGCTCTGTGCCAGCCTACCTTTTGACGACACAGACATCCCCAAGATGCTGTGGCAGCAGCAGAAGGGAGTGTCCTTCCCCACTCATCTGGGCATCTCGGCCGAATGCCAGGATCTGCTCAAGCAGCTCCTGGAACCAGATATGATCCTCCGGCCTTCAATTGAAGAAGTTAGTTGGCATCCATGGCTAGCAAGCACTTGATAAAAGCAATGGCAAGTCCTCCCCAATAAAGCAGGGGGAGAAAGCAAATTCAAAAACCCGCTTCTAAAATGGTGATATATATTTTACACTTTAAGTTTACTTATCCTAAAACTTACCTACACCCTCCCAAGCCTTACTCTCTTTCCTTTAAAGATCTTCATGGAACCAGAGGGTCTCATTCAGACTTCCCTTTTATTACGGCTGACAAGTGATTTTCATACAGGTGTTTAAAGTTAATTAAACAGACCCCAGAATTATACATATACAGGGGGAGGAGAGGAGAAAAATGACCAAGAGCAACTGGAACAACTGTTGTTGCAACTTCCTTTCCGAATAAAAGCAGAAGCGTTGGGAATGCAGAAACGGCCTCTTGACTCCTTGTCTTGGTGAGAGGCCTGCTGGGGACCCTGTCCCTTCCTCATCCCAAAAGCCAAGCTGAGTCTGGGATGAGAACAAGGGACTTCCTCGGGACTCAGACTGTCCTCCCACCCCTCAATGGGAAGCCCCTCCTGCACTCGGTGTGTGCCCTGCCCTGGCTCAGGGTGGCTGCTGTGGGGGACAAGAACAGACCCCTAGACACCTTCCAGCTTCTGTTCAATTTCTTTAATGCTGTTAAATGGCAAATCTGGAAAAGGTTCGGCAAATCTGGAAAAGGTTCAGGACAAAGTTCTTTTTTCTTTTTTAATTACAAAACTAACAGCTGTTAGAATCTTTTTTTTTTTCCCCCTTTTGTCTTTTCCCGGCTACAAAATACTCTGGGGAGATGCATTATAATTTAAAATATATAATATTGCACAAACAACCAAAAGGTTAATTAAACTAAAGAAATCATTACAAAGAGAAAAATCCCAGCAAAAAGATTCAGCATTTTCTCCATCCCACCCCTTACTGAAGTCTGCAGTGGAGTGACCGCCACTCAGAGTCCTGACCACTACCCCTTTAAATCATGGGCGAACACACCAGATTATGTACAAGAATCACCACAGCAGCATCGTGAAGCACCAGGGTCTTCAGGGATTCCTGCAGCCCCTCACTGCCCCAAGAGAGGTGCAGCGTTACCAGAGTGGAGGGTGAGAGAGAGCCACAAAGACTAGTGTGTCTTCAGGAAGAAGAGCTTTTGCAGGAGCCTGATGAGTCTCCAGTTCACCCCTAGCACATCCCTTCAAGAAGGGCGGAGGCCGAAGTCGGGCTTACAAGAGCTGTAAGTACTCAGCTTTGATCACTGCTCTGTACCGCCGGTAGCTGGCTTATGTCCTTGCGCTACAGGGGAGTCGAGGTGGGTAGCTGCTGCTTGGACAAGGTATCCCACCAGGCAACTCAGAAGGGCCTGTAGTGGTCCCCTCCCTTTTGGGGGAGGGGAAATAATGCAAGAGCAGACTCCTGCAGGTGGCACAGCCAGGCTAAGGACTTGGGTGCGTCTGACATCAAGCAGCCCTGGGAAAGGCGCTGGGAACACACAGTCTGGACTAGATGAAAGGAGGTGGCAATGCAGGGTTTGGTCTCTAGATTCTGAACCACAAGGAACCTTTCCAGGAGTGGAAAATACCTGGGAGGGGGATTCCCAAGAGAAGCAAATTCCCAGAGACGAAGGCTTCTCACCCACCGGGATAGGAACCAAAACGTGACACCCTCCCTGTCTAGCCAAGGACAGGCGCTGCCCTCCTGCCTGCTTATGGGAGGACCAGGGCATTGTCTCAGTGTCCTCCATGAGACTGTGTAGCTTCTGTCTAGAGCTGCCCCTTGGGACTTCCCACAAGAGTCCCCAGGAACAGTGGGTGTTCAGCAGACAAATGTAGGTTCTTCCAGTGAGGGGGGCAGGTTTCTTCTCCATTAAGTCATCCTATGGTTGGCACAAGTCAGAATTCCTGGCTTGGATTTAGTGAGCCCCTTCCCAGATGTGAGCAGAGGGCCAGCAAGGAGCAAATCAGAATCTGTGCTCAGAACTCTGGTCGACAGAGGCCATTTGGGGGACATTCTCAGTCAGTGTCTTCCAGGGCCGGGCTGAGACGAGTGTGAGAGGTGGGAGGTGGTGTGGGTGGGGGAGCTGCTTGCCCTGGCTCCCCTCATTCCCAGTCCTCCCACTCCACATCTTCCAGCTGCAAACAGGAAGGGATAATGGAGAGCACAAACACTTACTTACTCCTCTGAGTCAAGCCTAGACCCACCCTCCCCTTGCTGCCCCAGTTCCGGATGGCCCTCTGTCAAACCTCTGTGCCCACCTGGGTCACACCTGCCCCCTATGACATGAACCACCTGGGAGCAGACCTGCTCTTTGCCTAAGGGTTGGATTCTCTGACTGCTCCAGAACAAAGGCTGTGCTTCTGCCAGCCAACACTGGCCACCACAAGGGAACGCCCTGCCAAGTCAGTCAATCCCTTAAGGATCACTTGTCCCCTGCTGAACAGATACGGATCTGGCTCTTAAGAGACAGAGAACTTGAAGCATGATCAGAAGCAAGGGTGGCACTAGACTACAGGTGCCCACAGGTCTTCACTAGGAGGTTCCAGCACCCTAATCCCCAGCTGAGGGCTCCCCAGACTACGTTCTCTTGGCCTTCTGGTATGACAGGTAATAAAATGACTGCTCAGGTGTATTGTATGTCAGGTTTTAAAGAGGGCCACAAAGATAAAAGCCATAAACCCTCATGAAAGGGCACCATGGACTTTTCTCTGTCCATGTATTGTGAGGTCATAGTGCAAAATGCTGTGTGTAGGTCACTATTTCCCCTAAGTCTTCAGTTTCCCAGTAAGAAAAATGAGGCCCTTTTGTGTGTCTAACCTGTTCACCTCTTTATTATATGAACAACGTGGTGAGGGAATCATGTGGCTCTTGTGTGACAGTGGAAGTTACGCTGACATGAATCAGGTGCCTGGACTGGAGCCTCAGTCCCACTGCTTCCTAGCAACGAGAGCTCTGTACCTAGCCTCTTACTCAGAATGAACCTATTGACTGAGAGGCAGTGAAGAGTTAGAGTAATAAGGGCTCTGAGTTTCTAAGTGGTCTGAGTTTTGTGGTGGTTTCAGCAACATCTTGCTCCCATGTCCCAGCACTGGGCCTAACATGTCTACATGTATTACATCTCACAGCTTATAGGCTTATTATGACCAATTTCGTGTTTTAGATGGGGAAACAGAGGCTCAGTATAAATGACTTGCCCTCGATCACACTGTTGTTTGTCTCTAAGGCCAGGAATCTCTTCAGGCCACATGCTGGGAACCACAGTCAGAAGACCTGGGGCAGGGCTTGGCATCTTATTTTTTCAGTAGTTTCTTGGGTGATTTTGAACAGAGCTTGTGTCAAGAACTCTCCCATCTACCCACCCTGAGCTGAGGGGAAGCAGAGCTGCTGAGGGCCCATGTGGGAAACCCCAGCTCCCTTCCTGGCAGCCCGCCACTGCAGAGAGGAGCAGGGATCCAGTCCAAGGACACTGCGGGCTTGAGGCACGTCCTCAGACCCTGGCACAACACAACTGTGTTGTGTCCCTGTGGCCAGCAGGCCCACTCACCTCCCCGGAGGCATCCACTTTGGAAAGTGCCATCTGCACTTCTTCTTCGGTCATGTCCAAGTCAAAGTCCTTCTCCCAGTCCTCACTGATGTCTGTGCTTGAGCCTGGAACCATGATCCACAATGTGAAAGGTGGGAAGGGGCAGATGAAGAGGCTGTGGCTGGGGGTACTGGCACTCTTTAAAAGTGTCTAACAAATAGAAACCCAAGGTCTTTACCTTCTGCCTTCACTCTGGCTTAGTGAGCCCACTTTTAGGAATCTATTCTTAGGAAATAATCCTGGACTGAATCACAATAGCCAGAAGAGTATGTACTATAGTGCTGTTATAGTGATGAAAACATAAAAAAGCTAACAATCCACTGATAGGAGTCATAAAAATAAATAAACTGTGTAGGCACATTAGGGAACATGAGGAGGCTTTTAAAGGCTAGGCTGTAAAACAGTTGTATACATGGCAACACAGTTTTCAACTACTGAGAAAAGCAAGTTACTGAGTAAGTGGCCCAGGAGCTCCCTGGAAGCCACAGAAATTGTCCAGAATAAATAAACAACAGACCTTTTCCTCCTCACTCCATTCTACTACACTGATATATCACTCCTGAAACCCACCAGGCCCACTCTCACAGTAGGGTTGCTCCCTGTACTTGGACTCCCCTCCACAGCGAGCCACAGGCTACTTCCTCGCCATCTTTATGCCTCTGCTCAAGTCCCTCCATCTACATGTAGCCTTCCTGATTGTCCTATTTTAAACCACCACCAATCTCCTTCACCCTGCTCTGTTGTTCCTTTACCACTGTATGCATCTCGTATAAGACATAATCAGATTCGATAAGCTTACTGTCTAATAAGGGAGTTAGGACGTGAGCTCCCCCAAGGCAGGGATCTTTGCTTTTTGTTTTCTTATATACTCCAAGTGCTAGAACACATAGTTTGTACTCAGTAAACAGTTCGTAATCCATTTTTCTAAACCAGAGGTTGGCAAACTATGGCTGATGGACCACAGCCAGTCTACTGCCTGTTTTGGGAAATAAAATTTTGGAACACAGCCATAGCCACTTGCTTCCATATTGTTTATGGTTGCCTTCAGGCTACAATAGCACAGCTGGGTAATTTTCATAGGTACTGTATACCCCCCAAAGCCGAAAATCTTTGTTGATCTGGCCCTATCCAGAAAAAGTTCATCAATCCTTTCCTAGGTGATTCTGATACCTGCTAAAGTTCCACAATCACTGCTTCAAATATTCATATTTGAGTATGACTTTTTTTTTCTCCATAGAAGAACTGGGGTGTAGGCCAGAGGTGTGGGGGTGGGTGAGAGGATTCACCAGAGACAGGGTGGGGAGCAGAACAGGTGGATCTACTGAAATATACTGCTAAGGGGAGCAGTAGGTGAGACAGGAGAGGTCTGCTGAGCCCTATGTGGGTCAGCAGCCTGGCCGGGGATCGAACGCAGGCCTTAGTAGTGATAGCGCTGAGACTTAATACCTAGGCCACCAGGGAGGAACCTGAGGTACAACTTCTCATAGGCAATATTAAAAACTGCACATGTGAAAGCTATTACAAAGAAAACCACAAAACAGTTCCCTTTAAAAAAAAAAAAAAATCTACAGAAAAAAAGTCCTTGTACTATGATTCCATTTTAAAAAGGTAATCATGGATGCAGGTACACACACAGAGAAGACGAGCAAGATACCCTTGAAGACACTGTTAGACCGCGGTATTGAGATATAGAGTTATTTTTCTTGTATCTTTTTTTTTTTTTTTTCTAAAATGAGCATGTATTACTTTGTGATAGCTATTTTTTTAGCTTTAAAAAGAGTAGGCCCCTGATCTCCCAATGGCACCACTGCCAACACTACCTTGTTCCCTCTTACTTAGCCTGCAGCTTGCCAGGTGCCCAGTTCTGAAACTTCCCTCTGATCCCACCCATGTTCCTTCTAAGGGGATCAGTTCTTTCTTCCCCGTCACCTGCTGTCCACGGGAGTTGGTAAGAGCTGAGTCTCTGGAGCCAAGCAGATCTGTGAGGACTCCCTATTGTTGTCTACTGTGTAGTCTTGGGCAACTTATTCTGGGCTTCAGTCTATTTATAAGGATAAAAACGCCCTCCTTGCAAAGAGCCATCCAAAGAGTTTCTTAGAATGTTGATTCTTGCCTCTCTACCCCCTCATGTAGACTCAGTAGGTCTAGGTGGTAGCCCAGAATTCTGTATTACAAACAGGTACCTGGATGAGTCTGTGTCAACCTGGGCTTGCAGTCTGATGTACTGCAGGGTTACAATGAGAAGTATCGATAGAAAGTGCCTGTAACATACATGAGCATATTTCTTCGAAAGGTTTTGTCCCAGAAAGGATTTGGCACATGGTCCCACAGCAAATCACAGCCAAGTGTGTAACCAAGACCCAGTTCTTCTGACAGCTTGAGTCATCAGACATGCTGGTGGTAGTCAGGACAGGCTTCCTGTCATTAGCAGTTGGACTCTTGGCCCATGAGCCTCATTTCAACACTGTGGCTGTGGCCGTGGCATCCTCCTCTAACCTCAGTTTGCTCTCTAGGGATCTGAAACTCTCTTCTTCTTTTAAAAGATTTACTTATGCATACAAGAACTGGTGTACAGGCCAGAGGGGTGTGTGTGTGTGGTGGGGGGCAGGGGTGAGAGGATTCACCAGAGACAAAGTGGGGAACAGAACAGGCAGACT